TGGACTAGAACTGGACCAATAGATGGACTAGAACTGGACCAATAGATAAACTAGAACTGGACCAATAGATGGACTAGAACTGGACCAATAGATTGTAAGACTATTTCCCTGGATGTTTTGATCAGGTAGATCTTAATAGGTTAGACGCTGGTCTTTTTGTCCTCCATTAATATATTTCAGTTTTAAATGCTGATCTTTAGTTTGGATCATTTGGACCGGTTGGTTCCGGATCTTCCTGATGGTTCAGACGGTAATCACCTTTGATCTTTAAAGCTACGTTTTTCCTGTGCTGTTCTCAGACCAGTGATTCTCATTCATCCTGATGGTTTGATTATCCATCTGTGGAGAACTCTCAGATGGTTTCAGATGGTCTCAGATGGTCTCAGGTGGTCTCAGATGGTCTCAGATGGTCTCAGATGGTCTCAGCTGGTCTCAGATGGTCTCAGATGGTCTCAGATGGTCTCAGATGGTCTCAGATGGTCCATCTCCGTCCTCCTCAGACTGATCTCCAGTCTCCTTTATCAACAGGTGTCGCTGTTCTTCTCTACTTTCTGCCTCTGAAGCGACACAATCCAAACAAAGGAGCCCGTCTGCCAACAGATGTCCTGATCTGCATGTTTTTTTCTGCTCAATTAGCCTCCAAGGAACGGACACACACACCATCGACTGGTCATGTTTGGTAAACAGACGGACAGAACAGGAAGTGGAAGAACAAAGAGGCAGCGATCACACACACACACTGAGGCTGTTGTCTCTGAGCGGCTCGGTGTGAATCCCAGCAGGGAGGAAAATGATGGAGCCTCCCGGGCCGCCCTGCTGGAACCGACCCCATTCTGGAGTCAAACAGTGGGAATGAAACCGGTTCTAAAAATCACCAGAGTATCAGACTGTTGATGGAACCATGGTTCCACGTCTGCAACGGGAGTTTCTACAGAACGTTCATGTTTGCAGGAGGTCACAGAGTTCTGCTTTGTTCATACAGATGGAGGCAATTCCTCCTTTTATCTTCGTTTCTACTGATTAATCTTCTGATAATGAAGATTCTTTCTAGGACCCACAGCCAAGCAGCCAAGCAGCCAAGCAGCGCCCCCCAGTGGACAAGTAAAAAATAGCTGAATACATCAGAATGTGGGTCAGCCTGAGCCTCTCAAAGCATTCAGCATGTTAAGGTCAGGAGATGTCAGTAATAATGATAGATGGAACAGGTGGAGAAAAGGTGGAGAACAGATGGAGAACAGGTGGGTCAGTGGAGGATCATAAGAACCAGCTGAATCCTGACTGATGATTATCTGAAGACCTTCAGAGGCAGAAAGATGCAGATTCCCAGAGAAAAGGACCAGAACCAGGACCAGAACCAGGACCAGAACCAGGACCA